ACCCCACACACACACACACTTATTCTCATCTCTGTTGGGGGCAAACAATAACTTTCCCTTCTTTAAAACACAAAAGCCTCTAGAGTTAGGGAATGAGGACCGTGAGGGACCCTCATCTCCTCTGTACTCATTTCCGATCTCCACTCCCTGGGGTCACTCACAGTCTCATAGAGAAGGCCCTGCAGGAGAGAGGATAAAACAGATTGTGAGAACCCGTGGCCGGTGGGTCTGACATGTGAAGGCAGCAGGACTGGGTCTTAGGGATGGGCAGAACTGTGTCTGCATTCCAGCTTCCTGTCTAGGAGGGTTCCGGCAAATCATTTACCACCCTGAACCAATATGCAAAACAGGACACAATCGCCACCTTCTGAGATGATCACTTAGTGATAATGTTGAGTCCTAGCAGCGCAGCCAAGTCTGCTGGGCCACCAGCTCCTACCTGCCAAGTGAAAACGCGTGACACCCTCTCCTTCTTAGCTCACTTTCCGTGTCTTGAGGGAGAGAGAACTGTCACTCAGTCCTGGCTGGGCTTCTAGCTGTTTAACCGAAGTAGCTCTGGCCTATTCTATTGCCCTCTGTATCCCCTGCCGGAGGCAGGTCACCCAGACACCCAGAGCACAATGTCCCGTCTTTGATCTCCCAACTACCCCAGAGCCATCTGTTCTATCAAGGCTGGATGGAATAGATTCCTTCCTCTCTCAACAGCGCTACCATTTCAGCCCACAGAGAATCAGCAGCAGAGACCAGGGACCTAAGAAGGAGTTGTCAGTTTCGTGTTTTCCTTAACCACACAGTTCACTTTGCTGGATACATAGATATAAATCACTGTGGGTGGGAGGGGGGACGGGGCTGGGCTGGAGTCAAGCATGTTTATAAGCTTGCATGCAATCTATTCAAAGCCACTTCCCACCATGAGGTCCTGATGGCCTAGCACATGATGCCGGGCTTTGTGTGTGTGTGTGTGTGTGTGTGTGTGTGTGTGTGTGTGTGTGTGTGTGTATGTACACACTCCATACACATTCTTATGTGTATGTGGATTCATTTGTGTGTGCCACAGTGCACATTTGTAGGTCAGAGGACAATATGTTTTCTTGTTGTATACACCAGGCTAGCTGGCCCACAAGCTTTGGGAAATTCTCTTGGCTTCACTCCAATCTCCCTGCAGGGGTTGTTGGCATTATAGCTGGTCTCCACAAGCAGCTGACCTTTTTTTTTTTTTTTTTTTTAACATGGTTTCTGCAAATTCAAACTCAGGACCTAGCACTTATGTAACAAGCACTTTTACCCACTGAACCATTTACCTCATCTATACCTGGCTTTATGATTTAAGGTTCCTCTCTCTCTCTCTCTCTCTCTCTCTCTCTCTCTCTCTTTCTCTGTGTAGCCCTGGCTGTCCTGGGACTCACTCTGTAGACCCGGCTGGCCTTGAACTCAAAGAGATCTGCCTGCCTCCACCTCCTGAGTGCTGGGATTAAAAGCATCTGCAACTACTAGAGACCTTTCCCCTCTCTAATTTCTTGCTACTTTCATGACCACTCTTCCTGCCATGCAACATGTCTTTAACACATTTAAGTGTTAGTAATATGTTTACAATGAAGTTATAGAAAGGGTTTGAACACCACACCCCCTGCCCTTTCGCCTGATGCTGCTTTGTGTTTTACCACATATAAACTTTTTTATTGTTGCCCTCTCTTGCTAAGACGCAAGTCCATGGGGGCAGCGGCCAAGGACAGTGCCTGGGATGTGGCAGGGTTCTGTAAACATGTGCCAAACTGATGTCCATTATCTTGAGCACAAACATCTCTCCCCAAAACAAGCCGAATGGAATCCATTCTTTTCTTCCTCTGATAGAAAGCAGGTTTGAAAGAGGCCCACTGAGCTGGCACAAGAGTGACAGTAACTTGTCCCTAGAGGACTTGTTGGCTTTTTGTAATTTTTATGAGACAGCGGTGCTGCCTGCTGCTCCAAAAAGACAGTCACTTTTTCTGTCTCCCTCTTTTCTTTTTTACAAGTTCAATTATATAACCTAGGAAGATTCCAATTGAAGATTAAGATATTGAAGAGCTGACTCTCACAGAGCATCTTGGTGAGCACAGGGTTACATCTTTTTTAGATAGTGGTATATTATTATGAAAAACAACATCATTTTATAAAACAGAGTCACACTTTCTCCCTCTGGTTAGCATAAAATAATGCTGTTTGTAGTGTTTCCAGTTGAGAGAGAGAGAGAGAGAGAGAGAAACCTTTGGTAAAAAACATAGCAAGCTGGAGGTCTTGATATTCTAATCCCCTGGCTACAGCTTCCTGATGGGACTGCACACCTGAGAGGGAGACAAGGAAGAGGTGCTGCCTTTAAAACCACCCAGCTGGTTGCTATACAATTACCTCCCACAGTTACATCTGTTTACAGAGAAACAACTTCAGCCCTGGGAAGTTTGCCGCAGTTTCCGGGCCTTGCTTTATTTTGTGAAGCAGAGTCCGGAAAGATCCACACAAGGAATTCTCAATTCTGTTACTATATGCGATCCCAGGGACCATCCCATCAAGGCATCTGGAACTGCATAGACAGTTTGCTTCACCAGCGATAGGCCCTCCGTGCGGGACAGCACTTGATCTGACCTGGGAATCTTATTGTCCCCAGATGTAGTATTAACAGTCATGGGATTTACAGTGCACAAGACAAATGATGTCACTGGTGGATAGCGAAGCTGAGAAAAGGAGCCTGAAAAGCACACACGTGCGCACACATGCGCACACACATACACACACACACAAAACGACTTGCTTGGCACAGCACAGAAGGTGAAGCTGGATGCTATCTCCAGTTGTTTTCTCTCTCTCAGGAAGGTCATGTTTCCCACCAAGGGTGCCTTTTCTAGTTTTCCTTTTAATATTAAAGTGTCTGATTATTTAAGGAGAGTAGTTCAGTGGGTTCTTGTTGCTGTTGTTGTTCTTAAGCCCTGACTGGGCTGAGGATGCAGTACAGGTATAGTACTGCCAGGTTTGTGAGACCCTGGGTTCAGCCTCTAGCATGGAGCTCAAGGCTAGCCTGGTCTACAGCCTAAGACCGTGTTTCAAAGAATGGAAAGAAAACAGCATGGCAAAGTACTTAACGGGACACTGAGCAGTCCTGATAACTCTCCGTCAGTTGCTATAGAGAAAAGGGTATGTTTTGAAACTTCAACAGTCCATGAGTCCAAAACTGACAACCTTTTAATAAAAAAAAAAAAAAAAAACCAATCTTGGCAGTCTGCGGTAGTGGTGGTTCACACCTTTAACCCCAGCACTTGGGAAACAGAGGCAGGCAGATCTCTGAGTTAGAGTCCAGCCTGGTTTTATAGAAAGAGTTCCAGGACAGCCAGGGTTACACAGAGAAACTCTGTCTCTAAAACAAACAACAAACAAACAAACAAACAAACATCTTGGCTATTCAGAAGAAAGACAGATACCTTAGCAAGATGGTCAAAATCCCACTTCCTGCCTCAAGCTACCATTCTTCTGCTTCTGCAGTGGGGCAGTCTGGGGCCAGCCCTCCCATCAGGACTGAGGTCAATGAGGCTCCCTCACCCTTTGCTCTGAGGTCCCAGTTTGAGTTTTCCCCTCACCCCATGAGGACTATGAAAAAGCCTCAGCTTCTCGCTGGAATCCAGTGCTCCCTTCCCCCGGAACTCACCTAGTTGCTGTCTGCCTGTAGCAGCTACCGCATTTCCTATCCAGGTTAGTATCCCTAGAGCTGCAGAGTCACGCTCAAGTTCAAGCCCAGCCTACCTGAAACCTAGCTGCTCCACTGCATCCCTTATTACCCTCGAACTTCGAAATCCAATCCCAACATGCTTTCTTTACTCAGTGACACCAGAAGAGCTCTTGCCAGCGGTGAGGACCCAAGACCTGTGACAGAGGCTCTGCCCAGTACAGGATCTCAGCACACAAGAAGTGAGATTGGGGTGAATTTTACTCCACCCCACTTCCAAGAGCTGAGCTTCTGAAACAACTTTGCACAACACTTTTTTTTTAGGTACACTAAGGCTCAGTAAGAACTTACTGAATCAATGAAGAAAATATGAGTTCACTTCTCAATCCCTCTTAGCTACCGAATGCAGCAAGCACACACTAGATAATCAGGAATATCATATAATTTTGAAGAGCTACAATGAAAGGGACAGAAAATCAGCAATCTTCCCGCCCCTTACCTAGACTAGAGAAGAGAGAAACATTGAGTTTAGGTGGTGGCAGCTTCCTGCTTTGAAATCAGTGTGTACAGTCCCACCTCCCGAACACATGGGTTTTCAGCTACGAACACAACCTCTGTCATATTCATCACACGCCTCACTCCTTCTCTTCCAGATTATATTTTTATTTATTTTGGTAGGTGGAACACGCAGATGCTACAGAGCAATATGGGAGTCGGAGGTCAGCTTGGGGGAATTGATCCTCTCTCATTCAATTAGGATTGACCCGTAACACCTACTCTTCCTGGAGAGTTTATTTTATTAGCCCCCAAAATTCAATAAGAACATTTACTGGGAGTCTAGCAGGTGCCACCGTGTGTGCTAGGAGGACACGGAGATACAGAGGCAAACATGCATAGCATATGTTCCCACACACATGTGAACACATACAGAGGCATGCATACCCCCACACAGCCCAAGAAAGCAGGGAAATGGATTTAAAATACGAATAGAAAGCAGTCTAGGAGCTTACAACTCAAGAACTACAGCAGAGTTGCATTGTTTTAAATTCTGCATATCAGGGACTCTCGAAAAGACTGTCTGCAGATGACATGATGACACGTGACAAGCAACTGGGGGAGAAATGAATGCCTCAGTTTCCCTGCAAGAGTGGGCTGCCATACCTCTCCTTTTCTCCTTGCTTACTTCTTACATAACCGGTTCTCTGCGCACAGACTCGGATTTGTGCCTCTGAGGACACAAGGCTGTGAAGGAAGGGGGCGTCACCACATCGGACAGCGTTATCTAACCCAGAAAAAGCGAATCTACTACCTTGAGCATGCGGATTTCTCGCAGGGCGATTTTCTTTATGACAGGGTCATCTTCAGTTTCCAGAAATCTCTTGATGGCCACGATCTGACCCGTGTCCCTGTTTCTGCACTTGAACACCACCCCGTAGGAGCCTTCTCCAATCTTCCCAATCTTTTCATATTTCTCCATCTCGGAGGAGTAAGTCTTGAGAATGGACTTTGATACAGTTTTTAAATGTTGTTTACGAAATAGGTGGTCGGCGGACCGCGCTCGAGCCCCATCGAGTAGGGACCGTGGTCCAGGAGCTAGAGAAAACAAGGGCACTAAGTTATAGAATTAGGACCAGCCAGGTGTGGACTCCACCCCCAGCAATGACATCACGTCGCGGTCAAGACTGGGAGCCTACAGGTGGCTGCCGAGCGACCCAATTTCAATTGTCTGTTTTCATTCCCTCGAGCTAAAGATGTAGCCATCATCCTAAAACGAGCCAAGCTGTAAGATAAGCTATCCTTTTAACGTTATGGTTCATACGATCTAAGACACTTGAGCTGGCTGGAGCACCGCGAAGGCCAAGGGTTTCCCCGGTTCTAATTTCGGGTCTCATTTCCCTCCGGAAGAAGACACCGGGCGGGCAACCGGGGCAACGAGGGACCGCAGGGACCTCCTGCCCCTACTCCTGGTGCCTCTCGGCCCAGCTCGTGTCCAGCCGCAGGCAGCCAGGCTGGTGGCCGCTGCAATCCCCATGGGAACCGCGCCGGGCTGGGCGGGGCCGCCTTTCGCCCTGTTGTCCCCGCAGTCACCTGGCAGGTTCCCAGATCTCACGCTGCAGGTCCGCAGGATTTAGATCGCGGACGGCGCTGCGTGGAGCATCTGCGAGAAGGATTCCTGCACCCGGGCCCTCCTAGAAGCTTGCTCCTGCTACGGTGGCCAGTTCCATACCTTATGTCTCGGTCACTCCTTGGTGTCCCCTCCTCGCCTGGGAACCCCTGGAGGGGTCCTGCTGCGTCGGTCCTGCCCGGTGCTGCAGCTTCAGAAAACGAAAGAGAGAGGCAATCGAGGGAGTCAGGTTGGCCTTCCCTCCCTTGCAGTGGGGCCTTGGCGTGGTGCAGAGCAGAGCCTGCCTTGATTTCCCCAGTCACTTCCTTATCGAACCTGCTAGAGCACAGCGACAGTGGCAGCGGATGGATCTAAGAATTCTTGAAAGAAGGTAGCGCGCCACCGGCCAGACAGCCTCAATACTCTGCCAGCTCTTTCATCCCTTATGCTAGGCGCCGAGGTGCGTGTGTACTGGAGACAGGACTTCAGCAGAGAAAATGTCTGCGAAACCCTGGCCAGCCCTGGCCAAGGAAAGATGCAAATCTACACTGAGCTCAGGAAGAAGCTGGGACTGGGCATACAGGGCGTGGCGGTCGCCTGGCAAAGGGAGTACGGTATAATGAAGTCTGGGGAGGGACTAATGGTGGCCTGGGACCCTCCCAGAAATCATGTACAAATGCGAATTCCTGTTCTTGAATTTTGTCTTCTCGATAGCTTTGCCTTTCCCAGAATGCCATACAAATGGGAGCATACACTGCACACAGAATGCATCGGAGACCCACACAGATCTGGCACTCATCATCAGTATCTTCCTTTTTTATTGGTGGGTAGCGTTCTGGTGTATGAATGTGCCGGTATTTGTTTATTCACGCCTGGTCGAAACTGTTTCCAGTTTGGGGTGATTATGAATGAAGTCACTATAGATGCCATGCATAGCCCTTTCTATGAACGTATATTATTATTATTATTATCATTATTATTATTATTATTTTGGTTTTTCGAGACAGGGTTTCTCTGTGGTTTTGGAGCCTGTCCTGGAACTAGCTCTTGTAGACCAGGCTGGTCTCGAAGTCACAGAGATCCACCTGCCTCTGCCTCCCAAGTGCTGGGATTAAAGGAGTGTGCCACCACCGCCCGGCATGAACATATATTATTTTGCTTGGGGGAAATACTTAGGAGAGGACTGCTGGGGTGCACATCAAGTTTATTTCTTGTAAGTAACCACCACAATATTTTCATCTCTGGCGGTTCCATTTTGCCTTCCCACTAGCAATGTTTCCAGTGTCGGAATCCATGTCTCTGACTTTAGTCACTGAAATAGGTGGTTTATGATTTTTCGTGGTTTAAATATGAATCTGACTCTTATTTGCCCTCTGCAAGAGCAGCAAGTGCTTTTAACTGCTGAGCCTGCTCTCCGGCTTATTGGTAGACATTCTTGTTTTGAGATACATTGACCTGTAGTTTTCTTTAGCTAGTGAAGTTGATTTGCAAATGATTTGGAAAATGTTTTCTGTTCTTATATATTCAAGAGATAATTACTTTTGATCATTACCACGAGTTCCTTAAATGTGTGATAAAATTTAGCAGTAATTCCATATAGGCCTGGAGTTTTCCTTGTTGAAATAGTTGTTAATTATGAATTCTATTTAAGAAATTAGAGGACTATTAAAGACATCCTAGTTCTTCTTGAGAGAGTTTTGTTTGTTTCTTTTGTTCAAAGAATTTGTCTACATCACCTATATGAAGAGTTTATCAGGTTTGGTTGTTCAGCGTTTATCACATTTACTACAGATCTGTTGTCTGGCAGATCTGTAGTAAAGTTCTCTGTCAAGTTTTTTGTTGTTTGTTGGATTCCGGGTCTCACTGAGGCACCCGGACTAACCTTGAAATTTGTGACCCTCCTGCTTCAGTCTCAGAGTGCTAAGATTTTACGGGCTTGTGCCATCATGCCAAGCTTTGTTTCAAACTTGATATTGGCAAATCTCTGATCAGTTTAGTTTACTGATTTTCTTGGTCTTTTAAAAGAACTAGTTTCCCTTGCCAGGCAGTGATGGTGCATGCCTTTAATCCCAGCACTCAGAAGGCAGAGGCAGGCAGATCTCTATGAGTTCAAGGCTAGCCTGGTCTACAGGCTAGTTTCAGGACAGCTAGAATTGTTACACAGAGAAACCCTGCCTCAAAAAAACAAAACAAAACAAAGAAAAACAACAATAAAAATTAGCTTTCCCTCCACTTTGTTGAGATTTTCTTATTGTTTTCTGTATTTTAATAATTGATTTTATATCTTTAATTTTTCTGCTATGTTTTGCTTTGCTTTTAGCTTTTTTAAAGATGGAAGCTTAGATTATAATTTTTAGGAATTTCTTTCATTTAAATATGACTTTAATGCCACTCCCAGACCATTATGAAGGCATCACGGAAATCTTAACATGTTGTATTCTTATTTTGTTTTTGTTAAAAATATTTTATAATTTCCTTTGTGAGTTCATATTTGGCCCAAGGATTATTTTTGTGTATGTTGTTTAATTTCCAACGATTTAAGAATTTTCCAAATATCTTTCTGTAATCGATTTCCAGTTTAATTCCATTGTTTTCAGAGAACTGGCTGTGTATAATTTAAATCATTTGAAATATGTTATATTTGGTTTTATGACCCATAATATAGCTTGGGTTGGTAAACATTTATTTTTGACAATTAAGAAAATACTTTGAAATGAAGTGAGGATGTCGATGTGAATTTTTTCCCAGAGCTACCTCGCCTAAGGTTCATATCAGATTACATAAAGTTTGTTTGGAAAATTAACTTTACGGACTCCACAAGGTTCAGTGCCCAAGGATTGTGGAACAGGGCCAGGCCCAGTGGTAGTTAGAGCATGGCCCAGTAGGCCAGCTGCTTGGGCCTAGGCAGGCAGTGAACCAGAAAGCCAGCGTGACTTCCAGCTGTGAGTTGTTTGGAGAGAAACTGGAGCAAAATATTACAGAACAACTTTGAAAGGGAGACAAGCGGTTCCTGTTGCCACAGGAGAGGATGCTGGGGATAGACTGCCAAGCAAAGGTTCTTTCAGCTGGCACGTGAAGAACTGGTTTTGATAGCAAAGTGTAGTAACTAGGATGGTGCTCTCAGGAAGCTGAGAGATGGCCTGGCACACGGGGTTTCTTCATTAACTGCGAAGACAGTGAAACCCTGTAGTTTGCCCCTTGCAGTGGTCCCTTCTTTGCAGGGCTGCACCGGAGAGCATACAGAGAATGGGGAATTTTGGTCATTTAAGGGAATAATAAACATCACACAGTAACAGGAAGAGCATGGGGTTTGGAAGCACAGCAGAACTGCTACCTTCTTCCCCGTGTCTGAGCCCAGGCATGGTGATTACTGTTGCCTGGACAACAGCATCAACCATGTACAACAGCTGATGAACACGGACTTCAAGACAGGTGCTGTGCTAAGCATATTTTTGCACATGCGCTTTACATTAGCCTTGTGTAAGCATATGATAGACAACATTGCCCCGAGGATTCAGAGGAGAAATAAGAGTCAGAGAGGATGGTTGAGTCAGGAGACACAGCTCGCAGTCTGTGGAGTCAATGTTAGAATGCTGGCAGTTTGACTCCAGAACCTTCCTTCCTTTTGCTGACAGTACCGGTGCATAGGGGTAGATATTAGGAGTTTTCAGCTGGCCTCCGTGTTCTTATCATGTGTGATATAGCACAACCCTCCTTCCTTTGTTATCTCATGTCTTTATTTTTCCTTTACAGTTTATATATCCCAAACTAAATCTTTCAGGCAATATACAAATTAAAATGTGGTTACATTCTGTGAATGTATTATAATGAATACATTATAGTGAATGATTATAATGAATACAGGTAAAAAAAAATGTTTCCCATTTCCCTTATATAATTGAACATCCTATGTACTATAGATGAAAAAAAATTGTCCCAAGAAACCATATACATCCATATCCAAGCAATTTGTTATAGGTTAAAAAAGTGTAAGCAATCGAGGTATTTTTCTCAACCAGTTCTTTTACTGGCAGACTGAATTTTCTGGTTTCAAAGAAAGGATCAATCACTTTATTAATTACCTCAAAAGGTGATCTTTTGAGGAATCTTAAAAGAATCACAAATCTAAACTTTTATATATGAAATACAATTAGTCAGCTCTACTTTAAATCCTCAGGGAGCACACCCATTTGTCAACTGTTCTTTATATCAGGGAGCTGAGGACAGAAATGGGCACAAGGAATTCATCATGTCTCTGATCACCGATCAATCCTAGCAGAAAGGTGCGTCAGCTGATAATAATTGGGCTGCTTTGTTCTTGTTCCTTAACCTCAATGAGTCCCTCACTCAACTATGTGTCTTTTTAAACTTTAGATTTTTTCCTTAGGGTTTTCACCCCAAAATATTAACAAGAATAGTTTAATCTAACCTTAAGTCATTTTTAAAACTTTGTTTCAGTATTGATGCACACCGAAGTCTGTGAACACATCTCTCAACATGAAGATTAAAAGAACTTGAGCTAACTTAGCTTCTGGGACTCAGCTGGCTTTCTTAATCACTAACCTAAGCCACCATCTATGCAGTTCCCCAGGAGAAACTAGCTGTGTGACATTTTCTTGTTCTTATTTTCTGTCCTCTGCAGCACCTGGGTTTTCACAGGTGGGAGCGACACTTTAAACAGTACAGCTTAAGAGGAAATGATCTTCATAATAATCCACAGGAAAAACGCCTGGTAGCATGGGCTATTTCTAGGAGATCATCACACTACATTACAGGCAGTGGGGATCTCCCCACGCCCATTCACACCATGCCAGAGGACAGCAGCAGCAACAGACGTTCTGAAGCCAAAGCCCTTGGGGCCTCGCCTATGTGAGATTCAGGGCTTTGTCTCAGGGCTGGCCGACCTCCTGGACTTCAGTGACCACCTGCTGCTCCCCTGACATGACCACCGGCAGACCTTTTCAATGTTTAAAAAATATTTATTTTCATGTGTGTGTTTTGCCGGCATATAAGTATGTACACCATGTGTGTGCCTGGTGCCCATGGAGAGCAGATGAAGGCATTTAATCCCCTGGGACTGGAGTTATGAATGTTTGTGAGTCACATAGTGGGGGCTGGGAATTGAACCTGGGTTCTCTGTGAGAGCAGCAAGTGGTGTCTGAAAGTCTTAAAATCAGACTACTAACTACCTACTACCTAACTAAAAATACCCACACTGTGTGGGGAGCAGAGGAAGCCCTGAGTGAGTGAAGTCCTGAAGGAATGTGTGTTGTTGACATGAGCCAGGCATGTCAAGGACCATAGCCTCAGACCGATGTGAAAATGGCAAAAGCCTCTTCCCACTAGGATAAGACTTGGAGTCAAATGACCAAGCCTCCCTTCCCTTCTGGTCCATGTGTGGATGTGGACAACATGTGCAAAATGTTCACCATAGCTTTCTAACCCCCCCTCCTCCATCCCGGTATTTATGGTTTGAAGACTGCTTCCTTATGAAGATGACTCCCACTGACATTGGCTAAACCTGTCTCCTTGGT